ACTACATCGCCCTGAACGAGGACCTGCGCTCCTGGACCGCGGCGGACACGGCGGCTCAGATCACCCAGCGCAAGTGGGAGGCGGAGGGTGTGGCGGAGGGAGACAGGGCCTACCTGGAGGGCACGTGCGTGGAGTGGCTCCGCAGGTACCTGGAGAACGGGAAGGACACGCTGCAGCGCGCGGGTACGAGGGGCGCCTCCCACATTTCCTGTAGATTCCCGGCTCCCCGTGTACAAGGAGGGGAGGAAAAGGGCCCCAACGCTAGAATATCGCCCTCCCTCTGGTCCAGAGCAGGAAGTCGCCCCCTGAGTGTCCAGATAATGTACTAGAGAGTGACTCTGAGGGCCCAGCCTTCCCTCTGGGATAGTTAAGGGATGAAGTCTCCCAGGGAACAGAGGAACAGACAGTCCCCTGCGGTTTCCTCTGACCCTGCAGCAGCCTTGGGCACCATGACCTTTTTTCTCAGACCTTGGTCTCTGCCACAGTCAGTGTGTTTGGAGGTCTGATTCCAGCCCTTCTGGGTCACTCAGTCTCACTTGGGTCAGAACCAGAAGTCCCTGTTTCTCTTAGAGACTGGAAGTTTCAAGGAACAGGAGACCATCCCAGACCCTTGTCTCCAGGCTGGGGTCTGGGTTTTGCACTCTCTTCCCCACCCCATTTGTCCTGTGCATTCTCAGGATGTCACATGAGTGCTGCTGGAGTGTCCCACAAGGGATGCAAAGTGCCTGCATTTTCTGACTCTTCCCCTCAGATCCCCCAGAGGCACATGTGACCCATCACTCCACCTCTGACCGTGAAGCCACCCTGAGGTGCTGGGCCCAGGGCTTCTACCCTGCAGAGATCACACTGACCTGGCAGCGGGATGGGGAGGATCAGACTCAGGACATGGAGCTTATAGAGACCAGGCCTGCAGGAGATGGAACGTTCCAGAAGTGGGCAGCTGTGGTGGTGCCTTCTGGAGAAGAGCAGAAATATACGTGCCATGTGCAGCATGAGGGGCTGCCGGAGCCCCTCTCCCTGAGATGGGGTAAGAGGGGGGATAGGGGGATCATGATTCTTGTGAAGGAAAGCAGGGGTGTTTCTGGAGCTCTTCAGCAGTGTCAGGGCTGAGGCCTGGGGTCAGGCCCCTGACCTTCCTGTCCTTTCTCAGAGCCATCTTCCCAGCCCTACATCCTCATGGTGGGCATTGTTGCTGGCCTGATTCTCCTTCTAACTGTGCTGATTGGAGCTGTGGTTGTGATGCGGAGGAGGAAGAGCTCAGGTAGGGAAGGGGTGAGGGGAAGGGTTTTCATTTTCTTGTCCCACTGGGGTTTTAACCCCAGGTAGCATGGTGCCCTGTCCCATTACTGGGAAGTTCCATCCACACACCTGCTTCCCCAGCCAGGGCCCTGTGTGCCAACACTTACTGTCTTTTATAGCACATGTGAGAGTGAAGGAGAGAGCTTTAACATGATGCTTGTGGTGATGGGGACCTGATCCAGCAGTCACAGGTCAGAGAGGAAGGAACTGTGCTCAGGACAGACCTCCAGGAGGGCAGTTGATCCACATTCTTCCTTCTCCTGTGATTTCTGATCCTCCCCTGGGTCTTCAGTTAGAGTTCTGGACACTTGTCTGGGATCCAAGACTAGGGGGTTCCTCTAGGACCTCGTGGTCCTGCCTGCTGCCTGGCATTTCATAGAACATTTTCTTCCCACAGGTGGAAAAGGAGGGAGCTACACTCAGGCTGCAAGTAAGTATTGGGGGTGGTGATCTGATCTTTGAGATAGTGTAGACAGGAGTTCATGGTGGAGCTCCCAGTCACATAATTTCTCCTTCAGTCACATCTTTGGGCTCTGACCAGGTTCTGTTTTGTTTTACCCCAGTTAGTGACAGTGCCCAGGGATCAGATGTGTCTCTAACAGCTTGTAAAGGTGAGACCCAGGGGGTACGATATGAGGGTGGGTTGGGGCAGAGGAGACACAACTGGGCTATGGGGATTCTTTGATGGGACATTGTGAGTGTGTGGTGGGCTGTTCAGTGTCACCACTTACTGTGACTAATGTCATTTTGTTCCTTATTTTTTTCTCTAGCCTGAGACAGCTGCCTTGTGTGGGACTAAGTGTTCATGCCTCTCCTTTGTGACTTCAAGAGCCTCTGACTTCTGCAAATGCTTCTGAATGATTCTGTATCCCTGTTTGTCTAATGTGAGGAGGTGGTGAAGGCAGCCTTCTCCTCTGTCCATGGTGACCCTTTCTCCCACACTGACCTGTGTCCCTTCCTGATTATCTTTCCTGTTGCAGAAAGGTGGGGGTGGGACGTCTCCATCCCTGTGTCAACTTCATGGTGCATTAAGTTGCTTCCCTATTGAAAATAAGAATTTAAATATAAATTTGTTTTTTCAAATTCTTCCTATGAGAGAGACAAGCAGGGAAATAAAATGAAGACCTGAGAACCTTCCAGAATGTGTATGTTTTCTGTGCTGAGTCTGCTGCAGCTGGGGACAGTTAAAGGCCATGAGGAGCTGAGTGTGCTCAGTCGATGTGCAGTCTATCATGGACTTTCTGTGGTCACTACTTGGCAGGGTTATTCTCACATTCCTAATGTCCTTGTCCCTTCAGTAGAACCTTGTCCTCACAGGACCTGTGATCATTGGGGCTGAAACATGGACAAGGGTGGATCCTGCACACAGAGGTAGAATTTTCACACTCTCCAGGTCTTGCTCTCCTTCTAGGGCTCTTTCATAGACGGCATTTTCCATCTTTCCCCCAACCTTTTTATTATTTTATTTTAAATTTATTTTTAATTTTTATGGATGCAGAATAGTTGTCTGTAATTGTGGAGTACATGTGATATTTTGATACCAGTATGTAATGTATAATGATCCAATCTGGGTAATTAGGATTTCCATCACCTCAAACATTTATTTGTTTTTGTAGGGAACGTTCTAAATTAGACTAAATCTTCTCTTCTCACAGCTGTGGGCTATGTGAGGAGAAGGATAGAGCTGCTACCAGTGTAGATGGGGACAACTCTGGCAGGGGTGTGTTTGAGGAAGGGGCATCCCAGGCATTCAGTGGAGGAGGTGTCCACTTGGAGTGAAGGGGAGGAAACTGGGGAGGCAGCTGGTCAGACCTATCTGGAGTTTAGGAGAAATGTCTGGGCTGGAAAAATAGATTTTGGGGGTGGTGGTGGTGACACCATATAATTGATATTTAAAGCCTCAAACCTGGATGAGGGCACAGGAGAGTGACTGGTGCTGTAGAAGAGAGTATGAGCAAGGATAAACCCTGGACATGCAGGGCTGAGGATGTGATCCAACCATGTGCCCAGAGCAAACTGTACAGTTCTGATAGCACATCCAGAAGGCATGACACCATGTAGTCCCAAGATTTACTCTGTGTGGGAAACACCTGGACATGGTGGTGAGACACAGGAGTTGAGCATGAGACCCTGGGGTTCATGACAAGGACGGTGCTGAAGCTCCTGGTCTTCAGATCACACTTTAGTGGCAAGATGGCAGACCAGGATCCCTGTGTGTGTGCATCAACCTCATGTAGGGCTTGTTAAATATGTCGTTGGTCTTGTGTGTAATACTCTGAGAGTGGGGAGAGGCCTGAGTATTTTCTAAACACCACCAGCAATCCTGTTTCTCAGCCATAGTGGGAAGTCCTGAGGCCAGTGACCAGAGAGTAATCAGGGTGGGTCTTCAAACCTATTTTAAATAACCTTTTATCCTTCAGAATGAAAGGAAGGACATATATTATTAATTATGAGACTTGATTTTGGGAGATTCATATATTCTCTGTACTACAAGCTAGGGCCAGGCAGAGGATTCTGGTAGTGACTCTCAGCTCTGCATAAAGAACATCTCTGAATGCTGTGCTCTGACACTATTCCCCAGACTGATTTCTAACTCACTTCTTGGAGCAAAGAATAGAAGCCCAATGTTTTTAATGTACACGTTACATATTATGTACGAGGCCTGAGAAAGGGCTTCAAGATGGTGGAATAGAGACATTTCCTCATAAGCTGCTCTCAGTAAGTCCAGGGAGAGGAGTCCACACCTGTATTCTCTGGGTCAGAAACGATATTGCCACAGCTCCATGGGACAGCCTAGGATATCAGAGCAGCAGGTAGGAGGCCTGCAAAGATAAGCAGGGTAGGAGGCCTGGAAAGAAAGCAGGTGCAAGGGAGTGCCATGACCCAGGATAGAGCCTATAGGTGAAATCCCTGGGGATTAAGTCTGTTGGAGATTCTCGTCCACCCCCTCTGGCCCATCTCCCACTCTCCACTCCCCATCCTTCTCACCCAGTTGGGCTGGCCCAGGTATTAGACCAAAGTCCAGGAGGGCCTATCCCTCTAGGCACACGTTGTGGTGTGAAACAAAGAGGAGCTCAGGCCTCACAGGACACTGGGGTTACAGTAGCTGGCCCTTGGGCAGGGGGCTGGAGAGAGTGTATGCTGTTTCTTTGACACAGAGCCAGAGGCTTGAGCCCTAGTACTTAGGGGAGTAGCACTGGGTGAGTTTAGACTGTAGCTGACACCAGAGGAAACTCTGGCTGCCAGGCATCCTGCCACCTTCAGAGAGCCATAGGAAGGGAGCAAAGATTACTGAAACCCTGAGGCAGCTCACTGTCAATGCGGTCCAGATGGAGCAGCTTTCTAGGATCCCAGTGTGCACTGGCTTTGACTCCAACCTCTAGGTTAGGACAACCGTCTCTGGGTTGACTCCCACAGAAATGTGGGCTAAACTGGGGAGATCCAGTGTGCTTCCCACACACAACATCTTGCACCCACCATGTAGTATTTGGGTGCTTAGGGGTGTCCGCCAGAAAGTCTGGGGTAAGTTTCAGGACATTAGCTCCCCTTCCCCTCCTGGGATTTAACTCTCCTACAGCTACCAGGTTCATATTAAAATTAAAAAAAATAAAGTTAGGATGTAAGAGGGACTTCACCTAATAAATGCAGTCAGTGTAACCTGGGTTCTTGTACCCTCAGTGAATCCCCAACAATAAAAATAAATAAATAATCAGGAAAATAAGACCAGGTTTCCATGACATGTAGGTAGTAATTTTCTGCCTCTACCACATCCAGAAACAGATGTAGTTTTTTTTCTTTCTGTCCAGGAACTCTATCTAGTGTTATCTTTTTTTTTCTTTTTCTTATCATGGAGCATCCACTGGTGCATAAAATTTTTTTTGAGATAGAGTCTCACTATGTCACCCTGGGTAGAGTGCCATGGCATCACAGGTCACAGCAACCTTCAAACTCTTGGGCTTCAGTGATTCTCTTGCCTCAGCCTCCAAAGTAGTTGGGACTATAGGTGCCTGCTGCAATGCCTGGCTATGTTGTTTTTGTTGTTGTTGCAGTTGTCATTGTTTAGCTGGCCCAGGCCAGGTTGGAGGCTTCCAGCTTTGGTATATGTGGCATTGCCCTAACGGCTGTGCTATGGGTGCTGAGACCATACAATATATTTTTTAAGAACAAATTTTTTTGTTCTCTTTTCCATTTTCTTTTGTTTTGTTATTTTTCTTGGACAGAATCTCACTCTGAGGCCTGAGTTGGAATGCTGTGGTATTGGCCCGGCTCATGGCAGCTTTGAACCCCTGAGTTTAAGGGATCCTCCTGCTTTGGCCTCTAGAATGGCTAGGACTACAGTCCCTGCTAACATCCATGGCTGATTTTTTCTATTTTGGGGGTTTGCTGTTGCTCAGTCTTGTCTCAAACTCCTGGGCTGGGTTGAGCCTCCTGCCTCACCCTCCCAGAGTGCCAGGATTGCTGGTGTGGGCCATTGCACAGGCCTATTTTTTTCTTTCTCTTTCTCATTCTCATTTCTCTGCCTTTTGTCCCTGTTCCAAAGGCCACTTCAACATCAAAGCACACAGAGGAAGATTGAAGGGAATTAGGAAGCATGAGAATAAGTAGAGGAAGGAAATAAATGACAAGAAATGAGAAGAAGGAGCCAAGAAAGAATTCTGGGAACATGAAAAATTAGAGCAAATCGCTCCCCCAAAGATTCACTATGCAGTTACCACAATGCAGCTACCCATCTATAAAGGACTCATGGAAGTGACAGAAAGAGATTTAAGAGTGAAAATGGGAAAAATGAAGGGAATTGAAGAGAAAATGGAAAGCCAAAAATCCAAAAATTGATCCAAGCAATGAATGAAATGCATAACAAAACTAGAATTTATAACAGAGGTTAAGTGGAAAGCCACCAAAAGGAAATCCAAAAGTTGACCCAAGAAATAAATGAAAGACTTAACAAAATTAGAAACTACAGGGGCAGCACCTGTGGCTCAAGGGGTAGGGCGCCAGCCCCATATACCAGAGGTGGTGGGTTCAAACCCAGCCCTGGCCAAAAACTGCAAAAAAGAATGAAACTACATAACGGAGGTTAACAAAGTGAAGCAGTCATTCAGAGAGTTCCAAAATGTAATAGAAAGTATTAACAGCAGATTAAACCATGGAGAAGAAGGAATCACAGAGCTTGAAGACAAAATTCTTGAGCTAATTCGGTCATTTAATGAGTCCAAGAAGAAGAGTAAAAGGACAGCATTTCCTTAGAGAATTAGGGGGCTACACGAAGCATACAAACATACACATTATAGGCATCCCTGAGAAGAAGAGAGACCAAATGGCATGGAAGCCCTGTTGGTGGATTATCATAACCAAAAATGTCCCATGCATTGATAAAGATTTAGACAAACCCCTTCTAGACAAATAGTGAAAATTGGATTGCCTGGTTTCAAACAGAAACAAGTGTCTCTCGTTTCCTAGACACATCATGACAAACCTGGCCAAAATCAAAATGCAGGAGAAAACTCTGCAAGCAGCCAGGCTTCAGCAGCAGCTGACCTACAGGGGCAAAACCATCAAGGCCCAGTTGGCTTCTTACTATAAAGCTGAAACTTTACAATTCAGAAGACAGTAGGCTCCCACTTACAGTCTACTCAAACAAAATAGCTGCCACCCTAAAATTCTGTATCTGGCAAAATTAAGTTTCCATTCGATGGAGAAATCAAATCTTTTCTTGACAAGCAAACATTGAGATAATTTGCAACTGCTGTGAAGGAAGTACTCAGACCAGTACTATACGCAGACCAAAACAATGGGCCACCAATAAAGTCAAGTCACTTAGAAACTAAAAGACAAACCCTCGGTTCCACAATGGACCAAGTGATAAAACAAGGCAATAGACCTCCCCACAACAAGATGATGAAAACTCCCCTCTACCATTCTCTCAATAAATGTAAATGGCTTGAACTCAACACTGAAGACATACAGGCTGGTTTACTCCTTAAAAAAATGCAAGCCAAGTATTTCCTGCCTTAAGGAAACACCTCTTACCCACAAGGACAAATCTAGACTTAAGGTGGAGGGATGGAAAACAATATCTCAGGCAAATGACAGGCACAAGAATGTGGGAGCTGCATTCCTTTTCACAGGTGCAATGG